GGACTCAGTTTCTACTAAGAACAGATTGGCAGAACACGCTGGTGGGTCCTTGATGAACCTATTTTAAAAAATTTACAGGATATAGAAGGATTGAGATCCATAGACATCATCAGAGAGTAATCATTAGTAATTGTTTATGCTCCCAAGCATTTAAATCACAGCGATTTATGTTAATAACTTTAGAGTCAAATCATGATTCTGCCACTTCCTGGCTGTGTTACCTTGGTTAAGTTACTTAAAGTTTCATCCACATTTTCCTAATTTGTAAAGTGAGGATGATGGTAATTTTCAGGATTGTTGTGAGAGTTTCATGAGGAATGTGTGTGACAAGCTTAACACTATGCCTAGATTATTGGAAGAAGTCAATAAGTAACAGCTTTTATAATTAAGGTGTTCTCTGTATTTGGCCCAGTGCTAGTTGAAAGATGTCACTATGTGCTTCTATTTATAGGGGAATAATTCTGGAGACTCTAAAATCATGTATTAAAAATAGTCAAGTAAGTCTATGGCCACACCACCCTGAATGTGCCTGATCTCATCTGATCTCGGAAACTAAGCAGGGTGGGGTCTGGTTAGTATTTACATGGGAGACCACCTAGGAAGACCAGGTGCTGTAGGTGACTCTGCCTGTATGTATACGTGTGTGTATGAAAGCTTTGTGTGTGTGTGTGTGTGTGCATGTGCTTTTGTGTGTGTAGCCTACTATCTGGTCACAGATTCTAATTCTGAAAAAAGAAATTGATTTAAGAAAGAGGATGACTTTCTTAAGTCAGACTGTGTTGATAACTAGCTGAAGAAAAAAGTAATAAGAGCTTAGCTAGAGGACTTGAGAAAGAGGCCGCAGGTAGCAAACGAAGGCAAATATTCAGGAAGGGAAGTATCTCTATCTTACATGTCATGCTATTCAGACACATCAGGTAAAAAGGACAAAGCCTTTAGAAGGATTCTGAAATGTGGAGAATTAATTGAGGATTTATGACTTGGAACCAACTCAAATGCTGAGATGGAGTTTTAAGAATGAAGATAACAAGCTGGAGAGATGGAAGTATTCTAAAATGATTGTGGTAATGACTGTACAACTGTGTAAATTTACTAAAAAGCATTGAACTTTATCTTTACAAAAGTGAATTTTATGGTGTGTAAATTATACTGCAATAAAAATTAAAGAAAGAAAAATGGTGACCAACAAACCTGGCACATTTGTCTTCCAGTTGGTTGATAAGGGGGCATTAAATGCCATATAGATTCATTCATCTATTCATTCACTCATTAATTTACCGCCCCCATATTTATGCCTGTCTACTTGTCCATCCATTTATAAGTCATGCATCCATCCATCTATTCTTGTGTGGGTAGCTCTTGGTTGAAAGAAACGAATCAGATATAGACCCTGACTTCAGGAAGCTGGGTTGACTAAAGTTAGATTTTTGTTAAGAATATTTGGAATTATCTAACAGAAAAAATTTTTTTTTGAAGATGAGAAGAAATGTAAATTGGAGTTGTTTGAATCTACACATGCAAAAAAAAAAAATCTTCTTTTATCCTTTGGATTGTAGAATGCTTAGGAATTTGTCACTTTTGGGTGGACAGTGGAGTTAGACAATGATTAAACACTCTGGCCTCAGTCAGACCTAGGTCCTGGCCCTGTGTACCTTCCATGAGTCACTACTTCAAGCTTCAATTGTACATCTTTAAAATAGGGATAATAATTCCAGTTTCATAGGATTGTTAATAGAATTAAATGGGATGATCATGTAAAACATATAGCCAAGTGCCTAACATTAGTATGTGCTCAGTAAATGTTAATTATTGTTATTACATCTGTGCCAGATTATTTGAGGTTCTTCAAACTTGAAGTACTTCAAGTGTTGGATTCCCATTCTTCCCACCAGGATCTGTGCCTTGCCTCTTTGAAATTTCTACCTGAGATTAATCCAAGGTCAAGTTTTGCATCATCTAGAAACGATTTCTCTGAAACACTATGATAATTTGTACTGCTCACATCGTATTTAATGTAGATTGTTATATCTACACTACCCTGTATTTGGCTTATCTACCCTTAGTGTTTATAATTTCCCCGTGGGCAGAGAATGTGTCTCAAACATCTTTGCTTTGCTCCCAGTAGCTTGCATGGTGTTTCAGTCCACAGAGTAGGTGCCCCATAAATATTGAATCATAATTCACTTGTGCAGAAAGCCAAGCAGGCAATGAATAATTATTGCTTGAATGAAGTCCCATATTAATTAAAAAACACAGGCATTTTTGGCATAATAGTGAGGCCCAACCAAAATGGATTTGACATTAAGGATGGTTTGTCCCATGGGTCCTTCACTTTCCCCAAAATACGATTTACCCAAGTCTCTGCATTGTGAATTGACATGGCACATGCTTGATAGAAAGATATGCATTGGAAAATCAACAATGTTGGATGGGCTTTGTTTCAGCCCGTCAAATGAACGTGGAAGGAAAAGGACAGTTACTGTTTCCTGGAAAGAAAGAGAAAAGAAACAAAGAATATGTGTACTAATGGATGAACAGGTGACGTTGAGTCAAGCTTCATAATGAGAGAAAATGTGACTACTTAATTATTGACCAATTATGACATGGTGAGGGAAGTCCAGGCACTTCCTCTGTCAAAGGGAGCTATGATCCATAAAAGGTAGCAAGAACATCAAGTTATTTTAGTTATGGTGGTTATTATAAGCCTTCCAAGCCCTCGCAGAAACATTCTTGACTGACAAGAGGTTTTAGATTTCCAGGTTAAGTTCTTGCTCTGATCTTGATTGGAGCAATCACCAGTTAATAGGTCATAGTGTGGCTGGATGTGATAGTCTGCTCACCTAAGCCTTTGGATTCACTCCCTGATGTCCCGAGGAGCAGCTACACCTTTCATTTTTTATCTCTAGGTTTTGCTATCTGAGAGGATATATGATGCAGTGACAGGTACATGGGACTTGAAGCTCGCCAGATATTAATTTAGAACTCTGGCATCTCCACTTTTTACTTAGATAGTAGTGAGTTTGAGCTTCTTTTTTCTTACCTTGAAGTTGAGAATAAGAGTGTTACTAACTTCTTTCGAACTTTATTCATCATTGTCAACATTATCATTATCATAATCATTATTCTCACCCTAGAGACTAACACTTATTGACTTTTTGGTATGTATCAAGAATTGCTCTAAGTGCTTTAGATGGATTAGCTCGTTAAACTCTTTCCACACGTATTATAAGATATATTATGATCCCCATTGAAAACATCTAATATAATACCACACACAGTATAGGTGCCTGAATTTTATTTTTATTATTTAACAATAGTTACTATTATCCTTTAGAATAAGTACAGCCTAAATATTATCGGTTTAAAATTCTACTTCAAAGAAAAAAAATTCAAGAACATCATCACCAAAAGGAATTAAACTTGGAGTTTAAATAGTTCAGTGATTTTTCTGTTTTTAAGGGCCAGAAACTGTTGTTCACATGATAAATATATGAAAAATATAAAAGCAGAGCTATTCCGTTTGAGTCAGGGGTGGGGACTTGAGTCCTACCTGACAACTCATGTGTGCCTAAGACTCTGAGGAATAGTTTTAAAATCACTGATGTCATCCTTTCCCAGTATATAAATCTAGGTAGGCAAAGTTATTTATTGTTTATTAGCTGCCAATTCTGAATTAGAAATTAGACCTTCTGACTCTAAGATCCATTGTTTTCTGTGATATAGCAGTGTAATTACTATTCACTAAAATATACTGATTTAAAGACGATAAAGTACCTTTATATACCCTATTATATTTGCACTTCAACACTTTTGTGATAGGTATAACCTTTTCCTCCTAGTTCACCTAAAAAATGTTGTATAACTTTTTTTTTTTTTTTTTTTAAATTTGGTGGAGCTGGTAATAGAGTAAGGGGAAAAAAAATCAGAGACAAGATAATATTGAAAAAGTGCGATTCCATTGAGATAAGCAAACACATTGGAGTTCGCGTTTGCCCTTAGGGCAGTTTCTTATCCCTGGTGATAGAATCTGGCTTCTGGTAGACACTGTGTAAGTAGACAGGAGACAAAGCCTGGGGCTGTTGTGAGATGTATAAATCAAGAGCCTTGGAGGGTGAATCCTCAGTGGATGATTAGGAAAAATCCACTCTGCAAAAAGTGACTTGCCTGTCAGTCTTAACTCTAGATAAGGGAGTACAGAGGAGAAAAGTTTGCATTACTGAAAATAAAGAGCCTGAATTTCTTGCACTTTTGTGGCTCAATCCTCTTGCCTCAAGGTAAATAAAACAAATGTCCATTTGTAGTACCATGGATAAAATGTGGAATATTCATACTTTGGAATATTATACAGCATTGACAAATGAATGAACTATAACTACAGGCATTAACAAGGATGAATAGAAAAAATAAATCATAGAAGATATGTACAATATGATTTTATTCATGTGAAGTTCAAAATGGGCAAAAACAAATGATATATTATTGCAAAATAAGCAACTGTATATGGTAAAACTATAAAAACATGCAAGGGTGTGATTAACACAAGATTCAGGATAGTTAACTTCCGATGGCTGGGAGGGGGATCATCAGAGAGGTATAATTAAGGGATGCTGATAATACTGGTTTTATTCATTTGATATATTCGTACATATTCATTTTGTATATTTTTTTATGTATCATAAATTTTGCAGTAGAACAATTTATAAAAAGACTAGTCATGTAGAGGATGGTGAGAAGAAAATTCAGGATCAGTATGGATAAAAGCTTTCGGGAAGGAACAACTTTATCAAGTATGAGTATTAGGGGGACAAAAATCTCAAGCATAAGATGGTCCAAAGTTTCCTATTCTTACTCTCCCACCCCGTTGCCATCTCACATTTTTTTTTATATTGCCAAGGTATGTTTTCTTGCATGGCGACATATAATAACTGTTTCATGCTTTATTATTTGGAAGTCTTTTATTCTCTTCTTTTCTGATGTAAAATCTTATTTGCTGCTTCTAGGTCATAACTTTTGTGCAGAAGGACCTAAATGTGGTGAAAACTCAGAGTGTAAAAACTGGAATACAAAAGCTACTTGTGAGTGCAAGAATGGTTACATCTCTGTCCAGGGAGACTCTGCCTACTGTGAAGGTTAGTATGCTATTTAAAGAAGTCACTTGTGAGAAATGTGTTCCTGGTGGCTGTGGTCGAAGATTGACAGCCATCACTTGGCTCTTGGGATGCTATAAGAAATTATATCAGTTACTTTGTGTATTCTGTTCTCCTCCCACCCCCGCCCCCCGGCCGCCCCCACCACCAGGCTGCTTAGTAGTATGTGAAAGCAAGACCTTCGAAGGTAGTTATGAAACAGGAAAGCAACAAAAGCAGTAGGGCCATATCAAATTCCACATTCTGCTGTCGCCGTATTTAGCAATCACCAGAAAACCATAAACGTATTTTCTGTTGTCTTATTTGAGTAGATTGTCATCTCCAAGTTCAATTAAATGTTATGTGATGGATCCTCTTTTTGAAAGATGCTTTGATACTAGTGTACAGTCAACTGCCATCTTCTTCAGTTACCAAGCTCAGAAATTTTTTTCAGTTGTGTGTGTTTTTAAAAACTTTATTAAGTATATAGTCCGTTGGTTAGACGTTTATATAGTTTATGAAATGATCCCCCTGATTGCTCAGTTGTGTTTCTTAATGGCTGATTCATGGGTTGCTAATTTCCAAACTCTACTAAAAGTCATAGTAACAGATGGACTCGTAACTTTGGCACATGGACTGATGCCATTTTAGTGGGTTGGAAGTCTCAAGCATCAGTAAGCCTCTGTTTCCACTCCAGAGAGCAGAACAGCTCCTCTTATGTGAACCTCTCTTTCCAAGTTCAGCACTCCACCCTGCTGGTAGCAAGCATTGCACACCCTTGTTCTTTTAATATACCAAAGGAGCAGAGATTAGCTCTGACTCTGGTTGTTGTGTGTAAACACCCTAATATCTGAGCCCATCCATTCTCAGGTGCTCACTGGCTCCCTTCCATCAGTTTGGAGAAGTTCTAATAGGCAAAATGATGGCTCAGTTGTTTCTCTGTCCTAGTTGGACCCAGCTATTCATCTTCACTAACAATATGCTGAACCTAGATGATCTGTTAATGATATAGGTAGAATGAATGCTACAAAATCTTAGTCACTCTCCTCCAGTTGATTTGGTTCTCACATGGGTTAGCTATTGTCAAGGTAAAGACAATGGATGACAATAATGGCGAATTCCTTTCCATTCTGCTGTTTTATATGGTTGACCTTTGCTTAACTTTTTGGCTTTGACTAAAGACCTCTTTAGTTGTTAAGGAAATGTGTCTAATCACCACTAGAGCTTAGCTGGTATGTAGCCTCTGTTTTTCATTTCTTCTGGAAGACTCATTACTGCTTTGGTTTTCATTAGCATTACAGTTTTTTCCCTCTCTTTTTCACCTTTTTAAAAAAATTTCCTTTGCCTACCTTTATAGATTTGAGTTTGATTAGGGAGACATGCCACTTGGGAGCATGAAATTGCCCCTTTAGATATGAACTTTTCATCTACCCCTTAATAGCATGTTGCTTATTGTCAGTTTTGGAGAAGGGATGATTTTAATACTTCACATTAATATTTTTGAAATATCTTTATGTATTTTCTATTTTTTTGGTCAGAAAATTAATGTAATTTTAAAAATTAAAAAAAGTAAATATTTTCCTCTTCATTCACTGTGGAAAAATCTTACAAGCCAAGTAATGGTCTAAAAAAATTTATTTCTTATCTTCTATATGTGGGCATAGACTATGAACAATGATAAAAATGATAGAACCTCAAAATAATTTGAATTCTGTTTCTATCACTGGCAGACCTTTTAGTTGTCTATTTGAGACCAGTACATCCACCATTCCTGGCTTCCCTTAGCTACTGAAACCTAGCAGAATTTGGGAGAAAATTGCTGAAAATTGCTGGTACAAATGCTATTTGGATTTCTTTAATTCTGTTCTCATTGACCATTTTCTATTGCATAAAATCAACTCCACAAGGAGCCATTTGTGATAGTAAATCTGCCCTTTGTGTGTGAGGCCTTATTTTATTCATTATGTTGAGTGATTTCAGGTCTGAATCACTGTTTCGCTGGACATACTTACTCCCAGCTCAGGGTATATGCCTGGCCCTAGGTCAGTGTGCACAGTGGTGCCACCCAAGTAATGGTTATGTCTTCAGGCTTCAGTCACTTCTCTGTTATCATGGAGACTTTCCAGAAGTTCCAGAGGGCTTGTTCATGGAGAGAAGAATAGCACCTAAGAAGGAATAACTAAGCATTAGAGCTCATTTATGGTATAAGAATGGGACTCAGGGAGTAAGGCAGGGGCCAAATACTGGGCATCTGGATGGGATGCATTAACTAAGCAGAGAGAATACCAACATTTAGAGCAAATGCTCTTTTCTCTTTCCATTTTGCCATCTTTAGCACCTTGGACTTTGGGCTTATTTTCCTGTGGTCGCATGATGGCTGACATAGCCTCAAGCATGGTGTCCTCACACCAGTGTCCAAAGGAAGGAAGGGGCAGAGGTTAAAAATCTGTCTGTAAGGTTCTGGTTTTTTTTTTTTTTTTAATGTTTAAAAAATATCTTTCCTAGAAAGTCCCTCGTAATCACCCCTGCCTTCCCCCCCATGCAGAAGACTTCTGTTGTTTCATTTTTCAGACTTGGGTTCATCTTCCCCATCCCTATACCAGTGTTTAAGAAAGGTGAGTGAGATGACTGTCACTGGTTCGGGCTGTGTTCAGCCTGTGGAGGTGAAGTAGAGATTTCCCGTCCCTGAGACCAAATGATCTTTGCCCTTTTCCTGAACCAGTTAGGATTGTGGCAACAGGAAGAGTGTAGTTTTGGGCGGGCGGAAAGCTATGTCTACTCCATTCTTTGATGATTAAATTTAGTTTGTGGCCATTTCCCCAGCTCTGTCCTCATAATTGCCCTCTGGGTGGTCTGATAGACAAGATTAGAGGTTGCCAAGTACCCACCTGCGTACTGGAAGGCTGAGTTCGTTTTCTCATCGCATATGAGAGAGAAGTAGATACTTACAAACTGCTTCAGGAAAGTTACTTTTTACTCTGAGTAAATGGAGCGAAAATGACCCACATTGTAAAAACCATGATGTACAAGACTGGCTAGCAAATTAAAACAAAATATTACGCATTGTTCAGGCTATCTTGAAAAGCCTATTCAGGCTCTCAGTGGACAAAGAAGCACAAAAAGCTTTCAATTTTCTTAACATCCTAGGGTAGTAGCAGAGATATGGTGTATTAAGGACTCCTGCTTTGCAGAGATTGTGTTAGAAACTGCCATAGAGAAGATATCGGAACTCCTAGCGAATCAATAGAAGATAATAAGACCCTTTGTCACATACGGTACAATTCACAGGAGGTCATTTGATTTTGCCTGGTCTGACTGAAGCATGAATGTTCCCCATATTGAAAACTGCTTTAGTTGGACTTTGGTGTTTTATGAATCTAGTATGCCGAGGCTTTTTACCTTCCTGATGACATTTTCAATGAATTGGTCTTAAATAGTTTCTGATACATTAGCTTAAATTACAGGTAGTGTCTGAGGAAAGTATAGTAATTGGGGTCTACTCATGATCTTACTTTTGAATGTGGAGTCTACATAAATAGTCTCATAAGCTCTTTCTTCCCATAGTAAAATGTTATTTAGAAGAATAAAGAACAATGTGATATATATATCATGCAATCTGCCAGGCATGGAAAGTACTACAATTAGCATTAAATGATAATACTTTCTACTTACAGAGTGCTCTGAGGATTTCAAACTCATTTTATATACAGTGTACTCTTTGAGCCTTATAATAAATCTGTGAAGAAAGTAGCAACATTGGCCACAGTAATGCCATTTACCAGTGTGGACATTAAGACTCAGAGAAATGAAGTAAAGATAATATTCAGCTTGTTTCTGTTCTAGTGTTTTATGTCCTGACTAGTGTTGCACTTGACCTCCCCATCCCCACCCTGTTCCAGTGTTGTGTTTTCTCTCCTGATCTGATGAAATATGAGTAGATGTGAAACGTACCATTTCAGAGTAGCTCTAAGAGCTATTGCAGAGTTCCACCTCATTCTTTTATCTCTCTAACACAAAACTGGCAATGTTCCAGAGCAGGGCTGGGGTCCCAGAATGAAGATGACGTGGAGTAGTGTGATAAATGACAGGTGATGGACATATGGCATAAGTGAGAAATAATTGTGGAAATCATTGAAAATTTGGAAGGTGCAAATATTTGTTACCTTTGCATAACTTACTCTAAACCTATTGGTATACCTGCTTGGATTACTTGATCCAGATTTTGTGGTTTCAGAAAAATATCTTTTGACCAGTGCTCATGACCAAAAGCATTTTTTTATAGAGCAAGCATTGAGAGTTACTAGAAAAAGTACAAATTGTGTGGATCATTAATAGTCTGCTGTGGTCCTGGTGCCAGGCAATAGATTTTTTTTGCAGACCACAAGTTGTAAATTAGTGCTTTGTTATGGCCAATTCCAACATGGTAAATTGGATTTCCCAATTAAGATGATAATGAGACAGTGCATGTTAAAAACTTAGCAAATCTTCTGGTATTCACTAAGCATTTAATGAATCACAACAGTATCATTATCATCAGCTTATATCATTAATGTTTATAATGATCCTTCTTGGAATTGGAAGAGTGTGTACTCAATGAGGCCAGTACTTTGAGAAAGTGGGTTTCCCACGTCTATATCTTTTGGGAGAATTGGCAGGTGGCAGGGGAAATCGTTCTTACGACCGGGTTTTGTCAGTCCTGCCAGGAGCATATTGTTGACAGTGGGGTACCAAGCATAATAATTTATAAGGATGAAGTCATTTCTTCTTTGGAAAAATGCTAGTGGAACTGTATTCAAGGAAAAACATGAGTGGAGCTGTACCAAGCATCATAATTTATAATGATGAGGTCACTCCTTCCATGGAAAACCACGAGCGAAGCTGTATTTAAGGAGCTGTGTTGTGGAACAAAATTACCTGTATGGGTATGAATGTAATAATTTCATGTCACAAAAGCTACTGAAATGTCCGAGACACAGCAACTGATTAGCAAGGTGATTTATAAT